ATTTAGTTTAAGGAGTTATTCTGATCAGAGACATGATGGAAGCAATGCATGGCATTCCAAATCCGTGTCATGATGCTAATGTCACAATGACTCTCTCCCAGGGCTAGAAAGGTCCTGAGATATGGATATTGCCTGTAAAAGGGTCTGACTATCCTGGGCATGAGAGAGAAATCAAGGCTCTCTTCTGCCCTTTCTATGAGCTCATCTTTTAGATGCCATCTAACCCAGGCCCCCATTTGTTGCTGAGGTCACTTTAACACTCAGGGACACAACAACCGGGTCAACTAATACCTGTCATTTCAGTTAAAATGTGCTCCAGGTCAGCAAGAAAGACTGAAAAAAAATGACACATCCTCTGAAAAAGAGAGAGGAACGTTTTTGGAACAATTCAAGGGACATGTTTGAATGGACAGCTGAGGAGCTCTCATTGTAGTCTGTTTAAAAAAGCACAAGCATGAACAATGCTTCAAAATAAGTACCCTGTAGACAATGGCCCAGCTAAAGGCAACCAACCCGATACTCTTCTTGAATAAATACTATTTTCCCTTGAAGTGGGTAGATTGCAAGCTTATGGGGAAGAGCAGAATCGTCTTAAAGAGAATCACCAGAGGAGGTCAATAGATCCCATGTATATTTGCTAATAAAGAGGATTTTGGTGCTAGCTTTCATTGATTATCCAGTTAAGAAATCAATACTGTTGCTTTATAAAAGGGACAACCACAGAGTGGTTTGCGCTACTTAATAAGAGTGTTGGGAAAATAATTATTAAGGTCTTCATCCATGGTGATACAGTTTAACTCAGTAAATCATTAAGAATTTCCTCTTTCATGCAGTTTTCACCCTCTGCAAACAATGCCTATTGTATGAGCTAACACAGCAGGAGGTGTCTCCTCTGCTGACTTCCAGAGAGTTCTTTTCAGTTAGTGAGAAGATAATGAAAGAAGAGGAAGCGGGAGAGAAAGCATCTCCTCAAGCAATCCCACCAAGAAAGCAATCCAGGCTCACGTAGGGGGATTATTATCATTCTCTAAAATCCTCTCTCTCAACAGGCAGTTTTGTAACAAAAAACTCTTTGGTTTGGGACTGGGCGTTACGATTAGATGATAGGAAGTTTTCAAATTGGGTGGTGGATTTGTGTTAGTACATTTCTTCTCTGGCTTCACCCTCTTTTTTCCCCTCTGCTCAGTTCAAGCAAAGATACTTTCCATTAAATATTCAGGAAGTCAAAAGTAGTTAAAAATGGATTACAGTGTTGCCTGACGTAAATGAATCTTTGTGGCTACCGGCTACATGCTGTTACTACGGTTATCAGACACCGGGGTTTATGAGAAGAATCAGTCCAGGAGTAGTAGGCAAGTGTGAGAGGTACCCTGAAAAATCCACTCTCTTAAAATCTTTTCTTCATTAATATACAAGAGTGCTCTAAATTCAGCCTTAGAAATTTATTGCTTTGGATTGCCTTTGACTATGTTTTAAAATTCTTACTAAAAGACTTATTTCAAATGGATAACACATTTTAATTCTTCTTCTTTCTTTCTTTCTTTTTTTAAAATTTACTCATTTATTTTGAGACAGAGAGAGAGAATGCAAGTTGGGGAGCAGCAGAGAGGGAGGAAGAGAGAGAATCCCAAGCATGCTCTATGTTGTCAGGGCAGAGCTGGATGGGGGCTCGATCTTACAAACTGTGAAATCATGGCCTGAGCTGGAATCAAGAGTCAGACACTTAAACAACTGAGCCACCCAGGTCCCCCTAACACACCTTAGTTCTTAGCTCTATAGCTAAGAATTCTCTGAGCTCCCCAAGGGGTGTCCCTAAGACCTCTCTTTGTTCATGATGCCTAGCTGAAAGCAAGACCCTGTGGGGAAGTGTTCCTTGGAAGCTGTCTGAAATTCAGTGTATAGACAAATCACTCCACCCCCTAGTTTACTTTGGCCAGGACCAGTGTGTGGTCTAATGAGAGCCTGAGCAGTCAGGACCCCAGGGGGCTATGGAGGAAGGGGTGAAGCCATCTCTGCACTTCCTCTCCAGCTCACTCCCTTACTGTGTCAAGGCCTTCGTCCTCTGGCCCACGGATATCTGCCACAATATTCCAATTGGCCTCTTCAGATCCAGTGTCTCCTTCACACTGTGGCTCACTTAGCCTTCCTCCAGTGCAACTTTCATGCTATCCATCTTTCTCAAAACCTTTCTAAGTGTTGTTTCTGACCTTGTGAGCTATATGAACATATTGGGAATTGTAGTTACTGTTATTTCATAGGAATATTGTACCTGAAGCCAGAGTGTGAGTTCCTTGAGGTCAAGGCTGTGTTCTTTCTTACTTTAGTGGTCTCTCTAACCCTTGTCCTAGTGCAGAACACACACAAGGGATATACACAGATTGGCTTGTTGAAGAAGCATATGGGGCACCAACAATGGCCTCATGGGACTGTTTGGCCACTGGGAAGGCCATGGAGTTGGTTTTAGATGTGGCTCTTCTACTGACTTTTCCTATCATTGTGGGGACCTAATAGTTATCATTTATTGAATATGGTAGTGTTTTGGTGAGGCATTTTCCACAGATGCTATCAATTTATCCTCTCAACAACTTATCAAGGTAGATGCTATTTGCTTATTTTATTTATTTACTTTTAACGTTTATTTTGGAGAGAGAGGGAGGGTAGGGGCAGAGAGAGAGGGAGGCAGAGAGAGAAGTAGGCTCCAGGCTCTGAGCTGTCAGCACAAAGCCCAACTTGGGGCTTGAACTCACAAACCACGAAATCATGACCTGAGCTGAAGTGAGAAGCTTCACTGAGCCACCCAGGGACCCCTATTTTGCTTATTTTACACATGAGCTAAAAAATGTGGAGTTGGAATCATAACCCCATCTTTCTGGTGGTGAAAATTGACATCCTTCATTATAGCATGATACTTTTGGATTCTTTATTTGTGCTGTGGAAACAGAAATCATATCAGCATTTGTGACTTTATGTTAATTTTGACCACATGAATGAAATAATAAGCTAGGTCCTTTGATGATTAGGAAGTGGCTTCTTCCCTTGTGAACTCATACAGGATTTTAGTAGCCCAGATTTTTTTTTTAATAAAACAATTTGCCCCCTTCCGCTGCCTTTTGAAGGTACATAGGTAGTAAAAGAGTAAAATTAGTTTAAAAAATCTATTTGCCTGGCATAGTTTAATTACTTTGGCTAAACAGGTATTTACACATCTGGTGTAGAGTGTAATTTATTGCACTGAAGAAACTAAGGTCAGAAAAGCATATATATATTCTCTTACCAGTGGTAATATCAGGTATAATATAAATATTTATAAAATGATTGGCACCCATCTGGTGAGATTATTATTGAAAGATGACAGATACATATTTTTAATTCTCTCTTCTCAAATAGCAAATCCTGTCTCTCCTGATCCAAGTATAGAGATAGTGGCAAAATTAACATAATATGCTCTGAGATGTGCAATATTTTCTATCCACCTAATGAAGCCAAAGGGTGTTTATGAAAAACCAATTATCCTAATTACTCATAATATGAGGGTGTGTTCTGAAGAAGGAAAGAAATTTGAAGTAGCTCATTTAGAGCAGCACAGAATTGTACATAGAATTTTAAATGCCAGGAATCTAGGAGATAGAAATAAGGTTATTCCAATGCAAATAGAGCCGACTTAAGTGGTTTGTGACATCTAAAGATAACATGAATGTAATCTGACTTCCGTCAGTGCTTGGGGCTTTGATTATAGTAATTTGGTAAGAGGCAAAGAACATGACTCTTGGAATCACGGACTTTTATTATTGTGACCTTCATGCCATGGACTTTTATTATTGTGACCTTCATGCCTCTCACCAAAAAAAAAAAAAAAAAAAAAAAAAAAAAAAGATTGAATGGCAGCTAACGTATAGAAACCATATGGAACAGTTGAAAGAGCACAAAAGTACATAACATTTGAGTTCTAGTTCTTGAGCTGCCTACCAATAGGAGTTTTCATGAAACCAGTCTTTCTGGGACTTGGGAAAATGAGAAGGTTGAGTTAGTAATTTCTCAGCTCTTTTCCATCTCTAAAATTCTGTGACCGTGTGAGTAAAAATTGCTAGAGTTTGAATAATGTGTTCCTTCTTTTTCTAACATAATTATAAGATCCAATTGTCAACTTTTTATCTTAATTTAAGTCACAGGCTGAATTGTTTCTCCCCCCCTCCCCCCACCGCCATGGTAGTAATTCACTGGCTTTTCTGCATACATTTTCAGATTTGCACCATGAGAAACTGTTTACGATTAGTCTCTGAACAAAATGATGCTTTAGTAAAAATTAGTGTAAAAAAACCCCAGAGTTTAGATGCTATTTCTTCTGATGGTTGATTGTATGGATGGCTTCAAATAATCATGTCACCTTATACCCACATCCTTTGTGATGTAATTTCATAGCACTTGTCCTGTGGGCAGGACATATTTCTCTGCTCCTCGACTCTGGGCTGAGCCCTGTCAGTTGCTTTGGTTAACAGGATGTTAGAAGGAATGACAAAGCAGAAACTTGGAAGGGGCCCGTGCAGTTAACTTTGCATTTCCTTGCACCTCTGCCGTTGCTCTGAGAAGAACACGTCTGAGCTAGCCCAGCAATTCCAGGTGGAGGATAAGGAACAATCAGGAGTAGAGCCACCCACAGCTGAACCCCACCTCGATCAGCTCACTCCAGCTGATCTTCAGATCAATTTAGATTCAGATCAATTTATAATTATTATAAATTATAATAATAAATCTTGCTTTAAGCCACTGAATTTTGGGATAGTTTGTTAGGCCACAGTAGCTACCGGAGACACTTCTAAACAGTTTTCATCGCTAGAGAAATGTTACGTCTGCAAGCCCATATTACCAAATACCCACTGAAATAATCGATTATATTTTAATATTATCCATGAAGGCAATTATCAGGATATTTTCTTTTTGTTTCCCCAGGACATGAAACCAAAGAGACATAGCATTTTAACAATAGTGCTGGCCAATCTTACCTGTATGGAAACACTGCTGTATGAGCCGCCGATGACCCCTGCGATGAGCAGTGGGATATTTTCTTGGATGGCATAGGATCCATCAGGACACATATACTCAGCTTCATCCACTTTAGTCAAAGATGCCCTGACAAATTCCAGTGATTGCTCTAATGCATAGGTATCCCTTGAGCATGTATCCAAAATGTGCACACCCAACTTCACTCCTGGTAGCAAGTAATTGTCTTTGTTGATTTCATCAATAGCAAACAACATGGCTTCCAGGCGTTGGATCCCTCGGTCCTCATTGATTCGCCCACATTCCTCAGTTCCAGTGCCTTTTTCATTAATAGGAAACAGACCCCCTAAAACAAGGTCACCTTCTATTTTAATTTCCCTCCTCAGAAAGTTATGGTCCCCTAAAGAGAGTAAAAATCCCTTTGAAAACAAAGCTAACATGAGAACTTGGAGTCTTGTCAACATCTTCATGAATCCTGCTTCTGTACCTCCGGGAGATATCAATGGGTGAAGCCAATGTTGCCCGCTAGTCCTCCTCTCTCATTTCCAAACTGGATCTTTGGCCTGTCCTTCAAATAAGGGAGGAACAGACTAACAGAGCCTGTTACCAAATTCCTAAAGAGATAAAAATTATATGAACAAAAATGGTAAGCAAAACATCAGTGATTACATTGAGGGTCCCCAATCAGACCTTTGAAGGGATCATGACTCAAATTACCAGTTAGTAAACACATACTGCACCACTACACCAGGCACTCTCCCCCCAGGGATTCTCACCCAGCCCTTACAACACATGGTGACGCAGATCTTAGCGGTTCCATCTCCCAGAAATGGGTACTGAGGACTAAAACAGAGAAGCGACCAGTCAAAGTGTACCTGGAATGGGGGTGATGTTTAGACTCTAGTTTTCCTAATGCCAAGTTCAGTACTTCACCTACTTGGTCATAGACTCTGGTCAGTCAATGGTAGGGCAGTAACTTGGATTGAATCTGTATCCTTTCTCCTTCAGCTACATTTATAGACCAGCCCTTTTTATTCACTCTTTTCTTTCCATTTGAGGACGAAACAAAACACCCAAGTGACTCTTTCACCGTTTCTGCATTTCTGCCATCACATTCCTGTCCTTCCTTTATTCTAGATACTCTCAGCCCGCTGCAATCAAGATTCTGCCTTCACTGCTCTAAAAAAAAAAAAAAAAAAAAAAAAAAAAAAAAAAAAAAAAGGCGGTTCTGGAAAAAGCTACTACTGATCTGCTAAGTTTTCAAATCCACTAACCCCACTGTAGGCCTCATTTGACTTGAACTTCATTGAAATTCTGACTACTTTCTACCTGCTCCAGCTTCCTAGGTTTCTGTTCTCTTTCTTCTACATCTCAAATTTCATTGTTGAACACCTCCTCCCCACCCCAGGCTCGGTCATCCACTGTCAAGGTTTCAGCTCTCACTGAAATGATTCCTAGGTTAGCTGCCTGCTAAACAGCCCTGCCTACACATCCCTGTGACACCTCAAGGTCTGTAGGTTATAGACTCTCGCTTATCTCTGCGATTGGATCTTCTTTGTATCCAGGTGCTCATGCCGGAAACCTGCAAGCTGGAGCCCTTCCCACTTTCCCCGCTTCCACCCTTAATTAGCCACTAAGTCCTGTAAAGTTTACCTGATTAGCTTCCTTCAATGCCACCTCTTTGTTTATAACCCCTCCGTGCTAGGCTCTTGTTCTCACTAACAGGACCATCGCAGGAGGTTCTACAGACCTGCTGCCGGCCCCCAAGGCACGTTTTTATCAGTTAGGAAAAGATAACCTTACTCAAGTACAACATTTTCAAATTTGTATGGTATCACCTGGACTGCAGATGATGGGGGAAAGTTCCAATTGCCACCGATAGCTGCCTCCTCCAGCCAGCGTTAGGCAACTCCTGATGTGGCCTCACGTTCAGAGGGGTGTAGTGATTACCAGTGGTGGGGTCTGTGCAGTAGACTGTGGCTTAGGATGCTTCCAGAAATCAAGCTTCTTTTTACATTATAGGGTAGAACATAACGCACCTTCAAGGATGCAGGCAAAGCCCTGCCATGATAATCATGTTTTTGACAGTAGGCTGGGGTCTTCCTAGGGAACATTCCAGAATCCTGGTGTGGAGTAGCCCAGTTGCATGTACACAAGCCAGCAGACCTACCTACCTACCTACCTAGCACCGGAGCAAACACTGGCCGGCACTCTCGTGCCACCTGTGCGCCGCCCTTCTCCCCAGATGAGGTAAGCTTATTATTTTTAGAGTCCAGTGAAAGAGGTGATGGCAGAGATTCCTGGAACATTCTCCTGACAGGGTGCTGTTGCGTGTTTGTGTGTGCAGTTTGGGGTACCTGCCCGCTCTCCTGCTTTTGTACGTGATTGTGTATTGGTGGGGTTTGATGAGGGAGGGGGTCCTCCGGGCTGGTCTTCCACTTGGTCAGGATGTCCGAAAACCACACCAGCTGTGTGCTGTCAGCTTTGTCGGTAAATGTTCGTCATCTGAATGGTGGCCCACCCGAGGAGGCACTCGAGGAATGCAGAGTCTTACTTGCCGCTCAGAATGGCCCGTCTCCTACCAGTCTATACTGACTTCCTTCAGCCTCTAGGTTGAAGGATTGACTTCTTCGTGCTCCAGAATCTTGTCCCTGGCTAGCTCTCAAGCCTTACTGTTCACCAGGCCCGTCTGCTCCCTCCTACCTCTGTGCCTCAGCCGTGACTGAACTATGTTTACCTGAGAGGACTTCTAGAATGTTGATGGTGCCTGATGTGGCTCATGTTTTTCCCTTTGCCATGAATGCCCTTCTATACCCATCTGTCTGGCAAACACCCACTTATCATCAAAGACTCAATAATCACTACCAGGAAAGGCCAAGAATTTTTTCCTCTCTTCCTTCTCTGCTCAAATCCTGCTTTATATTCCTACTGTAGCTACTTCAAGAAATGTTTGCTATTACTATTATAGTTCTTATTTGTTTCTTTGCTCATTGGGAATAAATAAAATGGCACAACATTGAGGATTTTTAAGGCGTGAAGAAAAAAAATCAAAACCCAACAATAAAAAAAGAGACAGGAACTAGTTCAGTATGTACTTTAACAGTTTTGACATTTCTCCCTTCTCATGTTAGCAGTGCCCTTTATTTATTTTTAAAAAAATTTTTTCTTTAACCTTTGTTTATTATTGAGAGACAGAAACAGAGCGTGAGCATGGGAGGGGCAGAGAGAGGGGGAGACACAGAATGTGAAGCAGGCTCCAGGCTCCGAGCTGTCAGCACAGAGCGTGACGTAGGGCTAGAACTCACAAACTGGGAAATCACGACCTGAGCTGAAGTCAGACGCTTAACCCACTGAACCACCCAGGCACACCTGCAGTGCCCTTTAAAGCCCAGCTTTCCACATGCTTTCTGTTCCTTTTGCATGAAGCAAGTGATAGATTGTTTTCTTGAGACATGTGAGTCATCCGGGTTTTGTTTTGTTTATTTA